ACTTCCCAAAAGCAAATATTTATTTACAGCCCATGCAAATTTACTGTTTAAGTGGTTATTTAGAGGAAAGTTTATCCATGCATGTAATATTATAATTTGTAGTGAGAACAAAAACAGTAGGATTTTTCTTAAAAGATGCTTTTATAACTTGAGTAAAAAGGTGTGTCGCATTTGTAATATTTTATCATTAAGTTATTGCTTTCAATGGAACATAGGAGAAGAAAAAAGAGTATTCTAATGATGAAGATAATGTATTCGTTGATAAAGATAATAACATTGTTGAGAAGAAAGTAAAGTCAATTCATTATGAAAACAGAAGTACAAAAAATTAGCGGGAAGAGCAAATCTCAGAAAATATTCATTACTTGAAAGATGTAATATCTACTTGCATAAAAATATTTATATTTTTTTTAAATTACCATTAAATTTAGCTTCCAATGAAATTTAGATGGAAAAATAATAATTTTTTAAAAAGCAAGAGAACAATAATATGATATTGATAGTGAAAATATAGGTTTTATTAATGGAGATGAAGGCGTTGTTATTGGCTGGGATGATAGTTCTAATGACGAAGTAAATAGAAAAATTGAAGCATGATTTGAACACATTTTTTAGCAGTCGATTCACTTGCATGATTTATTTTAACTTTCGGTATCGATATTATTTGATGAATCAGTTAGGATATTGTACAAAATTTCAAATTTATGATTAATATTTGAATTTTCCTATGACAGCAAATGAAAAAATTTCTTATTACTGTTTATATCATTGAAAAAATGTATCCGGCCAACGGGTCGGGTTTCAATCTAGTTTATGCATAATTGGATTGCATAATAGTTTATGGCCTTAATTGGGTAAGGTTGTGGAGTGGATATATGGGTGATCGTCCCTTTTGTTTTATAAACTACAATGACGTCGAGGAAGAAGAATTAGAAACACCTGCCCTAGGAAGATTTGGTCGACTACCTTAACCCCAAATGGTAATATAAACTAATGGCTAAATTACATGTTTGGTCACTCAAATTACATAAATATTTCACGTTTGCCACCCGAATTATTTTTCTTTCATATTCGCCACTAACTTTACGATTCGTTTCACAGTTGGTCACCGGCCGTTAGTCTCCGTCAGACTCCGTTAACTCCGTTAATTTTCTGATGACGTGGCAAACGAAATTGCTGACTGTACCGTTAACTTAATGACATGTCAATTAAAAAAAATAAAAATAAAAATTATATGGTGGGTATTGTCCACTTCTCTGCCCAAAATGGGAGTCATTCACTTTGAGGTCTCCGTCTAGTTCTTCTGCCACTGCAACATCATCTCCGGCGAGGCGAGAGTCTTCCGACGGAGGAGGACGACCTTTTTCTTCTTTTTGTATCGCGAAGTGGAGCAAAGCAGGTGGCGCGATTTTGGCCTTTTTTCCAATTTTGGACGATGTCAGAGCAGGCCAAGGGAGGCAAGGCCAGTGGTATCGGATGGGCGGCCTGGGTGGGGGGATAGCGGAGGAAAAGAGAAGATCGCCGACTACTGCTTTGCTCTCTTGCATATACGTCCAAGTTTTGTTCCTCCACAAGCTCCTGCTCTTTCTTTCTTCCTCGTTCACAGTTCCTTCTCCCATCTCCAATTCCCTCCACTCGAAGGACACAGGAGAAAAGGAAAAAGCTAGTGCCTTGTTTGTAGCTCTCTCTATGCATCGTCGATGACTTTGCAATTAGGGATTTTGCTTCGGAATTGTTTTGATTTAGGGATTGCTACTGTAACTAGGGTTATTTATGTATTTGCCAATTAGGGATCTTGCTACCACAAAACAATGAAGCATTGATTGCTTCACGAAATGCTGATGAAGAGCGGCAGCGGCGGCCGGAACGTTGGTAGCCACCAATTAGAAGGAGGCAGCGGTGATTTTATGGTTTGCAGTTGTCGGCGACCTTGACAAGGACGACGTCTCCTGGAATGTAGGTAACGATTGGGGTTGAAGACTGTGGCGGCCACTGGAGTTGGCCCGCCAGGGGGAGGAATTGGGCGAGCGTTTGAGGGAGAGAGTGCTTCAATTTGGGGAGAAGCACTGAGTAGAAGAAACGAGGATAGCTTGAGATGTCGGGGGTGGGTTTGTAGAATTAGATTAATTTGACCGGCGAGAATCTGAACCAGCTTGTGTCGAGATAGGTTAGTAGGAGGGTGAACTGTGTGGCGGTTCCGCTACGTCAGCGATCAGAACTAACTTGCCGTCGGCATAATTTTTTTTTTTTTTTTGTTAAATTGACATGTTGGTCCAGTCAGCAGTTCTGTTTGCCACATCATCAAAAAACTAACGGAGTTAACGGAGTCTGACGGAGACTTAACGGTCGGTGACCAACGGTGAAACGAATCATAAAGTTAGTGACGAATATGAAAGAAAAGTAATTCGGGTGGTAAACGTGAAAGATTTATGTAATTTGAGTGACCAAACATGTAATTTAGCCATAAACTAATGAATGAATGAAATGATGTCTGCTTTTCATTGGGTATGGTTCACTTTCTTAGAAGTCCAAGTACAATTAACAAATTATTGTTATTGTTATTATGGACCAATCGATAAAGCCAGCACAATAATAATTAGACAAACCATATGGGAACATGTGAAATCACGAGAAGGAAAAAAAACTAAAAGGGGAAAGTGAAACGCGGCAGGTTAGGTTTAGGGGTGGCAAAACCGGTTTGAGTGGAGCCGGTTTTTATATGTATCATTCTGATTTAAGGTTTTAAAATTATAACCATCTTTTTAATTGGAATTGTGTAGGAATGTAATATGTTATGCCACAATCAATCAGTATGCGGTTTGAGGAAACCCCACTCATACCATTACCGAACAATCATATATAAAGTTTTTATATCATCTAAAATTGTTCTTCGAATATTGATGTAAACTTAAGATGGAAAAAATGCAAAAGAAAGGAAAACACACACTACTAAACGATGAAAACATAAAAAGGAAGAAGGGACTTGTTCTTCGAATATTGATGTAAAATTAAGATGGAAAAAATGTAAAAGAAAGGAAAACACACACTACTAAACGATGAAAACATAAAAAGGAAGAAGGGACATGTTCAAAAGTATAAAGGACCTAGATTCCTTATGTGATAATCGTTTGAATCCAATCCATAAATAGTTAGCCCCACGTTAAACAAGTCACATAAGTAGGGTCACTAAACAGGACTATTTAGTAATTAGGTACATGGCTCCACATGTGGTACCGAAATAATTGAGATTTGTACACATAATTAGCCAACCATACGATTAGTGAGCATTGCATTGCTCCCAAGTTCAGGTTTGGGTGGATGCAAACCAACAATTTAGGGGGAGGATTTGATAAGGTTGGGCACGATTAATTGTACCACAGTTGCACACAAGTATGATCGTACCAAATTTTACTATGCTTGTATCACGCTCTATATTTCTATGTTATTGGTGTCTCCGCATACGTGTTCAACTAAGATAATCTCGACGTGCAATCAATCTTCGCAGAACTTAGTGTTGCTCCCATCTCGAATGCTCTTGAAAGTGCTTTGCCACACCGGTAGCCCTTCACGGTCCACAATGAAAACCACTCTGCGAATTAATTTGTAACGCGTGGGGCCAGTTTTGAAGTGTTTTCTTTTAGTACATGCACTCTTTTTTACTATTGAGAAAAAAATCACCCAAATTCGTACAAATAATGAGAAGGATAGCAACCATTTGCAATAAGTTGGAATATGATATGACAATTCAAACATATATATGAAATGAATAGGGTTGCTACTTTTCACTCTCTTCCTTGGTTTGACGAGAAACCATTGCTAATTTGCTACCCTTTCCTTTACTTTTGCCCCTTTTCCTCCAAAACCCGTCGTTCATGAATGTGTGATTCAACACTCGTGATGAAACTTCTAGACTCGGCCACTCCAACGCACCGCACGGCCCGGACGAGAATTCCAGAGAATTGAATGCCGCCGCTGGCGCTTTGAGTTGGAGTCACACATAACTGTAGAGCTGGACGCCTGGACTCAAGCCTTTAGAAAACGGTTTGGTCCATCCTTTAACTGTCCAGGCAGATGAAGTCAGCCGTTATTATAGCTAGTTTGATGATTGCACCAGTTTAGTTATTGATCCAGTTCGATTTCATAACGCACTGAGAAGTATTTTCTTGTATGAAGAGAGAATTGGGTTTGATATAGTTTGGTCGTCGTGGACCTAACCAACCAACTTGTTGGGCAAGAGGGCTGAAGGGTCTGGGTTGGTCAGGTATAAACATAACCTACCGAATTACCTTTTTGTTCAAACATGCCAAATTTAGGGAATTTGGTCTAGACCGACTTGAACCTAATAACCATTTCTCTTTGATTCAGATTCTAATTAATGAATTCGATGCAAACCAAATCCACTTTATCTCAGGTTGATCATTTGGAAATCCTGATTGGATTAATTTCACCAAATTTGATGAATTCACTCTTCCTTATCGACAGGGTGAAATAGAGTTTGAATAATTTCATTGCCTTGAGCATCACATAACTAATCTAATCTTTCTCTAAGGAAATTGATGATAACTGTTAAGACGAGACAAAAAAAAAAAAGTATTTATAATTCTTACTCTAACTACTTTGCATCAATAAATTCAAGAGAATACGAAATACTCTAATCCACGACTAGTATTGCTCCACATAGATCTACGGCTAATATTAAGTGGTGCATCCACGCAGCCGAGATTAACATTGCAGTTATAACCGCGCTTCTTCGCCGGAGTTATCTTTTCTGAAGTTGCAGTTAAGTTTTCATATGCTTCAGTTAAGTCTACTTTTTTAATTAATTTCTGAAAACGCAGTTAAGTTGGTTCGGATCCCTAATTAAAAAAAAAAAAATTCTCTCCCTCCTCCATCTCTCGCTGTCATGAGAGATGACATTAATTAATTCACGATTTGATTTTAATTAATCAAATGTTAAATTTTCCAGTGAGCTTTTCAGTTTTCTTTTCTCTTCTACACAGATGCCTAATCAATGCACGCAACGCAATTCATTCCGTTTCTCCTCCCTTTCCCCCTCTCTATATAATCCTCCGCCTTCCTCCTCCACCCTGTTTTCGGCCTCAATCAACAACGCACAACAGTTTCCCCCCTTTCGCAAAACTAGAAAACCCGGCAAAACCTCCCTTCTTCCTCCTCTTCCTCCATCTCACTTCGTCGGTTTCTGTTTGAATTCTCTACTCATGGCGAAGCGCGTCCTCGTCACCGGCGGCGCCGGCTACATTGGGACTCACACCGTGCTCCAGTTGCTCTTAGGCGGTTACCGCGCCGTCGTCGTTGACAGCCTGGACAACTCCAATCAACTCGCCCTCCGCCGAGTTCAGGAGCTCGCCGGCAAGCACGCCGAGAATCTGTCCTTCCACCAGGTTCGTCGTCTCCCCGCTGACCGGCCAAGTCTCTGTGAATTTTACTGAATTGAATTTCGCTGTTCGTTCTCCGAATTGTCTGGAATTCGGTCTCCCTGTGGCGGCAATTTTGGTTTTCCTGTGTTGATTTGATTGGTTGCTTTATTTCCTGCCGGTTTACTTTTCAAGTATGGGCTACTGATTTTCATCCCCTTTTTTTTTTCCTTCTGCTTTTCTTGTTTGATCTTTCTATGAGTTTACAGTAGCCCAATTATGCTTTGCAAAGTGGTTGTAGGCCTCTGAGATTCGTCCATTCCAGTTCTCTTGGGATGAGAATTATGAAGAGTTGTTTATGATATATACTGAATTCAGCATAGTATGTATACTTTGTGGTGCCAAAACCCAGAAGTTTCCATGTACAGTAAACTACTTTCTTGAATTGTGTGTTGGTTACTGAGGTCTGAGAGTATGGATTCAAACTGCAGGTCGACATAAGGGACAAGCCTGCTCTGGAGAAGATTTTTGCGGGGACAAAGTATGAGGAGTTCTACACCGTGATGTTCCTGAATTTAACATGTTTGCATACTGATTATGCTTTTATCTGCACCTTCCAGATTTGATGCTGTCATCCACTTTGCTGGACTGAAAGCAGTGGGCGAGAGTGTTGAGAAGCCCTTGTTGTATTACAACAACAACGTCATAGGAACGATTACTTTGCTGGAAGTAATGGCTGCCCATGGATGCAAGAATGTGAGTTTCTTCTTGAGTTGTGTGCGTGTCTTACTGGCTGGAGAGTTGGCATTGTGTGCTGATGATCTTTTGATTCTGGCTTTTGTGGGTTCAGCTTGTCTTCTCATCATCAGCCACAGTTTATGGTTGGCCGAAGGAAGTCCCATGTACAGAAGAATTTCCAATCAGTGCAATGAACCCGTATGGGCGTACCAAGGTATCTACTAATGTTGTTGGGACTATACTGGGCGACTGTGTACTCAAGTTATTGGTTATTGTGACGAAAGTTAAAAATAGGTCGACCAGGGAGAAATGATGTCTAGAGCAGGAGAAATAACTAGAAGATGAGGATCTCATCAATATTGTTATGTAGACAGTATAGTTTGCTGTGTCTAGTACAGTCATGACTTTGTTTGCACGAATGCTAATCTTACGAGGTCGGCCTTTTCAGCTTTTCATCGAAGATATTTGTCGTGATGTCTACCGCTCAGACCCTAAATGGAAGATAATCTTGCTGAGGTATTTCAATCCAGTTGGCGCGCATCCTAGTGGTAAGATTGGTGAGGATCCTAGTGGAGTCCCGAACAACCTCATGCCCTTTGTGCAGCAAGTTGCTGTTGGCAGAAGACCTCATCTAACCATCTTTGGGACTGACTACAAGACCAAGGATGGAACTGGGGTATGCTTCGCACTTTTTCCATTTACATGTATTCTTTCTGCTTTGCATGTAAGCACTTCTGCCTTTTTGGCTGAAAGCCACGCCAAGAATGATCTCAGTATCATCCCTTCCAAGTGGGACTATAGTTTTATCCAAGAAGCTGGTTTAGTTACATGTCACTTATTGTGTTTGCTTGACTTAACAAAGGTCTGTCTCATACTCAGGTACGTGATTACATTCATGTTGTTGATTTGGCGGATGGCCACATTGCTGCATTGCGTAAGCTGGACGCACCTGATATAGGTATGCTCCTCAATCTTTCGTCTACCTTTGATTTTTTCTCCACTGCTCGATCACAAACCTTGGTTTAGTTATACACTATCCTGGAAACCCTTCCTCTCCATATGCTTACGGCTGTATGCATGAGTCCTCTGGTTCTGAACCCCCACTAGATTGATTGCCTTCAACATGACCTAATACGAATTCAAAATTATAGAGTATTGGTCTGTGTTTTACAAGGATACAGTTGATAGTCGGCCCGTGCATCTAGCTTCTTGTGGTTCTGCTGTGCACCCTTCTCAAACTTGATTGCCCATAGGGAACTGTTGGCTTTTGTCCATAATTTGAATGTGTATCCTTACCAGTATATGAATTTACAACCAGTGAATAGGTCAAAAAGTTTCTAAGTTGATACTGGAAGCTAATTAGAATGTTGGATTGGGTGGTCTGTACAGGTTGTGAGGTATACAACTTAGGAACAGGGAAAGGAACATCAGTGTTGGAGATGGTTACAGCATTTGAGAAGGCATCCGGAAAGGTACACCCCACTGTTAAAATTGCATAATCTGGTTTATCCTGCTTCCCACCCAAGTCTTCACCCATTTTTGGCTCTCTCTCAGTCATTCAATCTTCATACTGACTCTCTTCCCATCACTGTCAATCAGAAAATCCCTCTAGTAAAGGCTGGACGGCGACCAGGCGATGCTGAAATAGTTTACGCATCAACAGCCAAGGCAGAGCGCGAATTGAATTGGAAGTAAGTTGCTATATCAAAATCACCAGCCTTTTTAAAAAGCTCATATTCTTGTCAGCATCACAGAAATCACAATTAGGGTCATACATGTTTTCCTTTAATAATAGCGCAATCAAGTGCGTCTCTTGTGTCTCAAGTCTCAACCCCACAATTTGCTCTGCAGGGCCAAATTTGGAATTGAAGAAATGTGCCGGGATCAATGGAACTGGGCCAGCAAGAATCCTTACGGCTACAGTTCACCGGACGCCCACAACGGGACCAAGTAGAAACTGGAAAGAAAGATAACAATCCTCACAGGGTTTTTTCGCCCCCTTTAGGTACAACAACAGCACAGTAAAGAAGCATATGATATTGGTGTAGATTCTTCCTTCCTCTTAGAAAGTATTAATTACAGTGTGTAGGCGCAAGAGAAAGAGGAGGATTTGTCTTCTTCCTCTTCTTACTATTGAATAAACATCTTGCTGTGGGCTTCCTGCCTGCTTTGCCCAGTATTGATAGTAGGAATTTAGATTGGCTTTTTTTCCTTTCTTTTCTTTTCCTCCTTTTTTTCTTCTTTTTCTTGGATCTATAGGATATGTGTAAAGAGGTTAAGGTTAGGGTTGGTCTTATTTTGGTGTCTAAATTGGTTAGCACGTTGTTCACAGATTATAAGTAGAGAGATGTTCTGCAATCAAATGTGTTCTGTAAAGCTGATAGTTGTGTTCTGTATGAGTGGTAATAGAAGAACGAATTGTTATTATTTATTATATATTTTAGAACAGATTAACAATTATTTCTGTTCCACATTTTGAGATGTTCTTCCTCCCTTCCAACTTGGCCTAATAGTGACCTAACAAGTGTCCAGAAATCATTCATTACGTTACCACCGTCAATAGAGAGAGGGATTCTTTGGGCTCGTGCTCGTCTCGTTGGCGGTGTTTTGATTTCCTGATCATTGGGATCGGTGGATTAATAGTTTAGTTCAGCAATTGAGGATTCTTATGAGGGCAGAGAACGTGGGTTGTGTATATGGAGGTCAAATCAAGTATGTAACGATAGACGTACTCGTCTCACGGCAGATTGGATAATTTATTATGGATTGCGGAGCGTGGACAGCTCAATTTGTGGGTTTAATAGACTTGAGTTACTATACATTCATTAGTAATTATATATTACAACAAGACATGATTTGGGGGAAGTCCATGGGACAAATCTTATAACGGAATTAACTTTGTGTTCAAACATACGACTTACAACAAAAATATAATGTATGTTCAAATATATTTTGAATCATCATGTATGTGGTATTTTGATCGATTCCTACCTTATTATTGGCTTATGTGTGGCGGTTTCTTTTCATCATTTGAAAGCTCAAGACAAGGGAGAATGGATTTCGTCATGAATTGTAATTAGACTTTGAGGTGGGTTAGGAAGTTAATTGATATATAACAATAGAGTAAACATAGAACATGTCCATTGCTCTATAGTCTATATACCATTCACATTATGTATGAGTAATGTTAACCAATCAATGTTGGACACTTGGACTAATTTGTTGCGAAAGGTGGAGAGAAGAGTGATGTAATAGATCTTGCATGATTTGTGGCTATTTCTTACTATGATATTAGAGTTGCTTACAATCAATTCACAAAACGCAATTGAGACGAAAAAAACACTGCTTAGTGCCTCAATCGTACGGACTTAATTCCTAATAAAAACAAAATCTCTTCAGTAGTACCTAATAACAAAAAAAAAAATCTATATCATCCTTATCTAAAAAAAAACTTAAAACCCATCTCCATCTCATTGAAAAATTTATCCAACTTTTTTCACTAATGCCATAAAAAGGACGTCCCACTTATGGTTTCTTGTCCATCTCTCTTTAGTTTTTGTTGACTTCACAAGGTTAAACAAGTCACTCATTTCTAAAAAATACCAAGTCACTCAATGATAACTTTTAACTCGGAAATTAGTTCGAAATCCAAGATAAACGATAATAGTAACGATGTTCATCCATAATTATAAAAAAGTCCAGTTTTAGTGGCACTTCCTACCGTTGGCGTTGGGTATGAAAAATCATGGTTTTGGATCGGCCCAATTCAAAACAAAGATAGTGGACGTTGGGTTGGTGGGCCTACGTTTTGTTTTGTTGTGGCTGAATTTGAACTCAGTATTTTGAATCTCCGAAGCCTTTTCTTCTTAAAATATTTAAAAGAATAAAAAAGCCTAATAAACTTTTATCTTCACCATTTAATTAACCATTGGAAAATCCTGCTTCCAAATAAACTAACCGTCTTCGCCTTCGTAAAACCCTCCCACAATATATACACCTCCCTCCATTTTACAGATAACTTCCTAATTACTTTTCCTCTCCATTTGAAGTCATCTCTGTGTCAATTCCAATTCAAACCCACCACGCGCTTCTCTCTCGCTCCGTCTGCATCGCCAGTCGCCACCAATCCTTCACATCTGCTACCGAAGCTGTTCCTTCCGGCAGATCCCCCGCGCAATTCCTCAGATCCAGGGCGATCTCCGATCTGACGGCTGCGGGCGGCTGCGCCGGCGGGACTCTCTACAGATTCCTGCTTGTTTCCTTCATTTCTAACTAGCTCGGAGATATGGAGAATTTGATCTCTCTAGTTAACAAGATTCAGAGAGCTTGTACTGCTCTCGGTGATCACGGGGAAGCTAGCGCGTTGCCGACTCTTTGGGACTCTTTGCCGGCTATCGCCGTCGTCGGTGGCCAGGTTACCTTATGAATCCCTAATCTCTTGTTTAAGCGGTTGCCTGTTGGCTCTGGCAGCGTGGATTTGAAGTTCAAGATGGTGTTGTTGAGTTTTGCGGTTGTTTTATGTTTGAAATAGAGTTCCGGGAAGTCGTCCGTGTTGGAGAGCATAGTAGGAAAGGACTTCTTGCCTCGTGGATCTGGTAAGAGTTGTTAAACCGAATAGCTCTTTGAAATCGCGTTGTTCTTGTTGAGTTCTCTGTGTCTTGGAGATGGTATAATGAGTCGGTTTGTCTGAAATTACTTTGTGCAGGGATTGTTACTAGAAGACCTCTAGTGTTGCAGCTTCATAAGCTAGAGGAAGGAAGCAGAGAGTATGCTGAGTTCCTCCACCTTCCGAGGAAAAGGTTCACCGATTTTGGTAAGAATTGAACTTCCTGGAGGAAATTCCAATCATGTATTTGTTCTAGATTGGAGTCCATAGGCAAATGTCTCAACTGGATGGAGTTCCGCATAATGTTCTGATTGTGCTTAGAGCAATGTTATCGAATGCAGTTAATTACTGATCACTATTGGCATGTGGATAGGCCTTTCTCTTCGCTTATATGGCTCCCAATTTGTTAACTTGTGGCCTTAACTTGGTGAGACGTACTTAGTTGTGTGCTCAATTGGTTTAGTTCGCTCATTACATGGATGCAGGTGCTGTGCGGAAAGAGATTGCAGACGAGACTGATAGAGAGACAGGACGCTCTAAACAAATATCTAGTGTTCCAATCCATCTCAGCATATATTCTCCAAACGGTGAGGCCCAGTATGAGCTTTCCAAGCTTTTTGGCATCTGTTGTTGTAAGCATTCTGCATTCTGATGGCTCTTTGATATTGCAGTTGTCAACCTTACGCTGATCGATCTTCCTGGGCTCACAAAAGTAGCTGTTGGTAAGTAGCATCTGTCCATTTAGGTATCGCTGACTGGCCTTCCAAGCCTATAGTTTCTTCTAGGTAGTTGTTAGACGTCTGGAATATTGAAGGTCATTGAATGAGATGGGAAACGAGTTGCAACCTTGTAAGGGTTCCAAGCATGCATGGTTGGATGTTTTGATGCAAATGCATGCTGTGTTTATGTTCTTTTCAATCAGTTTCAGCATCTTTGTGGGTTGTTATGTGATTTGTTTTGCAAATTGCAGAGGGTCAATCTGACAGTATTGTGCAGGATATCGAGAACATGGTGCGCTCCTTTATTGAGAAGGTAAATCCAAGATGATTGTTTAAATTAAAATTTAATTTGTTACACCTCTTTCATTTTAGCTTTCAAATTTGTTTACACCTTTGACTCCTTGCTAAATTTTGTGCAGCCCAACTGTTTAATTTTAGCAGTATCACCTGCAAATCAAGATCTTGCCACATCTGATGCTGTTAAAATTTCCCGCGACGTGGACCCGACAGGTTAGTTTGCTATATTTGAATCTAGTATGCTAAGCTAGCATGCGCCTGTAGTCTTAACTAAGTTCTCACAAAGAAGTTATATCTAAGTGCTAGTTGTTGCTTCAGAATATTTTTTTCATCTTCCAATCTTGAGCTTAATGCTCTGGATAATGAGAATGTACCCTATTGCATTGTCAGGAGAGAGAACTTTTGGAGTTTTGACAAAGATTGACCTCATGGACAAGGGTACTGATGCAGTAGAAGTAAGTAGGCTTTTTTGTTTGGATGGCCATGTGTATACATCAAACAGTGCTCTAAGATGCTCTTCTGGCTGATTCAGATATTGGAAGGAAAAGCTTACCGGTTAAAATTTCCTTGGATTGGTGTCGTGAACCGTTCTCAAGCTGACATTAACAAGAACGTGGACATGATCGCTGCTCGGCGTAGAGAGCGTGAGTATTTTGCAACCACCCCAGAGTACAAGCACCTTGCTAACAGAATGGGTTCTGAGCACCTAGCAAAAATGCTGTCAAAAGTAGGGCCATTGGATTATGCACTTTCCCTCGAATATTGGATGCGGTAGTGACCTGATTACTAACGTTGTTTATGGTGCAGCATTTAGAAGTTGTAATCAAGTCCCGTATCCCTGGCCTTCAGTCACTTATTAACAAGACAATCGCTGAGCTGGAAGCTGAGCTTAGTCGCCTTGGGAAGCCTATTGCTACTGATGCCGGAGTAAGTATGCTCTTTGTAATTGAGGGTCCTTCCCCCTGATTACAAATCTTAATCCTTGTGTGTGCTTGTGTATATGTCTATCCCACTAGAATGTCTTGAGTGATTATGATTGGTTGATTGCAGGGGAAGCTATATTCAATCATGGAGATTTGCCGTCTTTTTGATCAAATATATAAGGAGCATCTGGATGGAGTGTAAGTTTAATGTTTTTGTTCTTACCTTTCTGGTCCTTTTGACCTCAGATTATGTTCGTTCATGGTAGTTCTATATATTCGACTTTGTATGGTTTCACTTAACTGGACATTCACAGTCGACCAGGAGGTGAAAAGGTATACAATGTATTTGATAACCAGCTTCCTGCTGCCCTGAAGAGGTTGCAATTCGACAAACAGCTTGCTATGGAGAATATCCGTAAACTGATCACTGAAGCTGATGGGTACCAACCACATTTAATAGCTCCCGAGCAGGGATATCGCCGTCTGATTGAATCTTCGTTGGTTACTATCCGAGGTCCTGCTGAGGCAGCTGTTGAAGCGGTATGCATGCTAATTGGAAAAATGATCTTTTGGGCCAGAGAGTTTATTTCTCACCAGCTGATATATATTTTTGTGCTTGCTGCTTTAGGTTCATTCCATATTAAAGGAGCTTGTACAAAAGGCCATCCATGAGACGCTGGTACGCTAATTTTTTTTTACTCTCCTTGTTATTTCTTCTTCCAAGATGTTGAATTGATGTGAATTTCCTTTTGGCTAACAGGAGTTGAGGCAGTACCCTGGTCTCAGAGTAGAGCTTACAAACGCAGCTGTTGAATCACTTGACCGAATGAAAGAAGAAAGCAAGAAAGCAACACTGAAGCTGGTGGACATGGAGTGTAGTTACCTGACTGTTGATTTCTTCAGAAAGCTTCCCCAAGACATTGACAAGGGTGGCAACCCTACTCATTCCATATTTGACAGATACAATGATTCGTATCTTAGACGGATTGGTAGGTTTCTTTGATTCCACACTCCTAAAACATGCTTATCATACACTTATTTGTTAAATATATGATGGTTTCTAGTTTAGAAGACCATCAATAATTTTCTGCGTTGAAATTCATTAACAGGAAGCACAGTTCTTTCCTATGTGAATATGGTGTGTGCAACCTTACGGAACTCTATTCCCAAGTCCATCGTCTATTGCCAAGTGCGTGAGGCCAAACGAAGCCTCCTTGACCATTTCTTCACCGAGCTGGGAAAAATGGAGGTGAGCTGATGGTTTGCTCTTTTCCATATCGTGACCAGTCATTTTTGCATTTAATTCAGAAACTAACTTGAAGATGCTAATGGGTACTGTTGCAGCAAAAGCAATTGTCACAGTTGTTGAACGAAGATCCTGCGGTGATGGAGCGCCGCAGCGCCCTCGCAAAGAGGCTGGAGTTGTATAGGTCTGCGCAGGCCGAGATCGACCAAGTCGCTTGGGCGAAGTAAAGGTAATGACGATATCGCTCACATGAAAAAGAATGGAATATGTCGTCGGGCCATCTGGGATGTTGTTTGGTGATGTTGGCGTCTGGTATTGTAGTATTAGTTGATGAGATTTTCATTGGTGACCTTGCTTCATTTGTTTGCCATCCGCTGATTCATTTTTATTATGTAGTTCTCCTCCTGTGAGCTATTAAGATTTTCCTCGTCTTTGATTTGGCTGGCTTTAGTAAACGAATTGACGGCTATACGGATAGAGCCTGTGTATATGTGTATACGGAGAGAGCCTGTGTTTTGCTTAGCTTATGCTGCATTCTTAGGTTTGGAGTTGCCCTACATGGTAATTTTGCTGTTTTTATGTGGCTGTCTACTAGAAATTTCACTTCTTCCAATTAGTAAACTATGTGATGCAACATGCCCTCTGAGAGATGGAAAAGCTGTAAGGAGGGTTGTCTGCCACTGACGGGTTTCGAAGCTGTGATCTTCGAGCTGCCGAGCCAGAGTGTGATGGTGGAACGAATCGTCATTTACATATGAAGTTGTTCGTCTCCTGCGAAACCTGTTCGTCGTATGTATGCATATGGCATTTTGGTAGACGATAGGCGAATGAAGCGGCAGATGTAGTGGCTCACCATCACCGCCATCCTCGTTACCAATTTCATACAATAGCAGTTTGGTGTGCCATCTGATGGACTTCAGATGGGTTGAGATAGTTCCATAATGGTGCTGCCAAAGCTTAAAGAAAGAAAATCTATGACATAGTCTGACCTAGTTTAGCCTAGCGATTATGACACAATAACATCAACATGGTGGTTTTTATTAGTGCACAGTTTATACTTTATTGTGATCGGGAATTGCTGATCAAAAAGTTAAGTAGGGCTTTTGGCCCATAGTTCTGGGCTATTGAACTGGCCCAGTTTAGCCCGTTATGCTGAACGGATTCTTCTCGATAGGTTTGGGTAAATTGGGTTAGGATATTTCCACACCCAACCAACCCAATCTCGGGTTGAGTATCCGAGTAGCCGAACCAAAAGGTTCTCCCACAGATTCCCAAATTCCTTACCGTTCCGTTACCGGGCCGCTTTCCTCTCCTGTCGCTGTATGACGTTTTAACTGACAACAAAAAACTTTCAACTCAAGTTCATATGGTTCGTAGATCCCAGCCCAAAACTCAGATTCAAATGCGAAAGAAGACGAGAAACGAAGAGACAGAGGAAGAAAGGAATCTTAACGTTCGTCTTATTTCATCATTGGATTTGATCTGCCCTTCTCTCCCGGGATCAAAAGGTACGTATCACCGTGTCCCATTCTTCATTTCTGAATCCGTTTCCCCCTCTTCTCTTGTAAGATTTAGATTTTAGACGTACCTGGATTTTCTGTTTCCATTTCTGTGAATTGGGTTTGCCTTCATTTCCCTGTCGGTTCTAGCTACCGTCTCCGGGTGGTCTTCCCTGGAAATGAAAATGTCGCCGGGGATGTAATTGGAAAACGTTGGTCGGTTTCTATGCACGCGAGTTCGACAGGGGAAAGTTTGGTTCAGTTCCAATCCGTTCTCTTTGCGCCTGCTGCTGTAAAGGTGGGAACTTTATGGAATACCGACTGGTTATTACGCCAGAGATGCATGTTCATGATGACCTCTTTACTAGGTTATGAAGGGGCTAAGTTTTGTTATTCTGGTGTTGTTGGTTTCCAGTTCCTGTCTCTGGGTGGTCTTCCCAGGAATATGAAATGTCGCCGGGGATGTATTTGGAAACCGTTAGTCGGTTTGAATGCACGCAAATTCGACTGGGGAATGTTTGGTTCAGCTTCCAATCTTCGCTCTTTGTCCCAGGCTTTTGTAAAGGTGGAAACTTTACAGAATGCTGATGGTTATTAGGCTGGTGATGCATGTTCATGAGCTCTTTTAATTAGGTTATGATCGCTTGAAATGAAAAGGGGGCTAAACATATTCATCTGGTAACTTTGGGGATATCGTTGGAGATTGCTTGCAGGCTTGCGGTTCTTTCAAATCCATTGTGAAAGTAAGGGAAGATTTGCTGGTGTTGATGGTTTTCTGGCCTTCCCCTGCATTGGATTTGGCATTTGCTTTATTTATTTGTTCAGAGGGTTCATAATCGACTTATTGTTAGTTCTTTAGGTATGATGATTGGGGATTTCCCAACTGGTGGGAGTTGGAAATGATTTGTCACATGAGAAACCTTAAAATTTGATTGCTACTTCTTTATTCTTCTTTGATCATAGAAGTTTGTTGTAAACCATGAGCCACTTGCTAATCTATTGTTGTGTTCTTGAATGCACCAGTAACTCGTTGCGTAGGATCAGGAGATCGCAGAAGGCACATATCAACTTATTGGTGCTATCCCAATCCCAATATCAACTTATTGTTAGTTCTTTAGGTATGATGATTGGGGATTTCCCAACTGGTGGGAGTTGGAAATGATTTGTCACATGAGAAACCTTAAAATTTGATTGCTACTTCTTTATTCTTCTTTGATCATAGAAGTTTGTTGTAAACCATGAGCCACTTGCTAATCTATTGTTGTGTTCTTGAATGCACCAGTAACTCGTTGCGTAGGATCAGGAGATCGCAGAAGGCACATATGCTACCATGGAGTCCGAGAGGGAAGATTTCAACCTCTCAGGACCCTTGCACTTGACTTTTGTTGATTGGTAAGCCTTAACTTTCCACCAGTTTCAGTAAACCAAAGAAATGAATGTGAAGAAAAATGATCAGTCCATTGCCATTTTCAAAAGCTCTTCGTTAAATATGGCAGGTCTAATGCACATCATCGAAGATCCGTCGCAGCCAGTTTAGTCCAAGCCGTCTACATCCTAGAGCGAGACCGCCAGCTCAAACGCCAGCATCCAATCGCACTTGCACCGCCATGGTGGGAGTTTTTCCACTTCAAGTTGCTCCGCAAGCTGGTAGACGATGCTGATCACTGCATCTTTGGAGCCATCTACGAGTACAGACCACCAACCCCTCATGGTCACCAGTCCCTCGATGCAAGCCCACGTTACGTGATCGCCTTCCGTGGAACCTTAACCAAGCCCGATTCTTTCGCACGGGACATCGAGCTTGACCTCCACATCATCAGGAACGGGCTCCACGAGACCTCCCGCTTCGAGATAGCAATCCAGGCAGTACGCAACATGGTGGCAGCAGTAGGCGACTCCAACGTCTGGCTGGCTGGACACTCTCTGGGAGCAGCCATGGCAATGCTGGCAGGGAAAACCATGGCCAAGAATGGAACTTTCATACCGGCATTTCTCTTTAACTCGCCATTCTTCTCCGCCCCCATCGAGAGGATCAAAGACAAGCGAGTGAAGCATGGGATTCGGATTGCTGGCAGCGTGATCACAGCTGGGCTCGCATTTGCTTCCAAGAGGAACTACAGCAGCCAGCAGGCAGGCAGTCGGTCTGTGGCTGATCCTTTTGTAGCTCTCTCGTCGTGGGTGCCTTGCGTGTTCGTCAATCCAGGGGACCCGATATGCTCGGAGTACGTGGGGTACTTTGAGCATAGGAAGAAGATGGATGAGATTGGGATTGGAGCGATCGAGAAGCTGGCGACTCAGAACACGTTGGGCGGGCTGCTGATGAGTGCAATGGGGAGGGATTCGGAGCCGTTGCACCTCATCCCTTCAGCAGTTCTGGCTGTGAATTTGAGCCCTGCGCAGGATTTCAAGGAAGCTCACGGGATTCACCAGTGGTGGAGGCCCGATTTACAGCTGCAATCCAACATTTACAAGTACAAATAGACTTTGCTGGTTGTCACACAGGCCTGCCGGTCACCTCCCCTGTAGAAGAACTTATGTCACATTCGATTCTTTTTTTTTTTTTTTTGTGCTGTTCTTGCCCATATTTAATTTGATGGATCATATGTCATGTGATCGATAACGGTTGAATTCATTTTGTGTCTAATGGTTTTGAATCATACAATATGAGCAATCCAATGACATAAGTATACATTTCGAAATCCTGGTTTAAGAATATGTAAATTTGAATCATAAAACTATCCTTTGAAGGACTGCATCCGTTTCTCCCAACAGGAAAAAAAAAAAAAAAGACCGAATGCCGTACCAATGGCTGCTTTGTGGGACTAATTTGCACTTAATTAAGAACTGTGATTTTAATATTGGTGAAAAATAGCCATAGCTTAGTGTTCAAAATTGGTGAATAATAACATTTAAAATAATTGACAAATTTTTTTAATGTAGCCTATAAAATAGGTGATAAATAGCCTTTAAAAAAATCGGCATTCAAAATCCGTCAATAATAGCATTCAAAATAATCTACCAAAATTTGTGATAGATAGCCTTCAAAATCGATGAAAATACAATTCCCAAAAATTGGCCAAAATCTGTGATACATAGCCTTCAAAATTGGTGAATAATAACAATAAAAATTGGCAAAAATCGCTAAGGGATAGCCTTCAAAATCGGTGACTAATTGCATTCAAAAGAATTGGCCAAAATATGTGCTGGATAGCCTACAAAATTGGTGATAAATATCATTTCGAAAAATCGGACCGAATCAGTGATGGATAGGCTTCAAAATGGGTGATAATAGCATTAAAAAAAAGTTAGCCAAAATCTGTGATGAATAGCCTTCAGAATCGGTGAAATGTAGCATTTCCAAAAATCGGTCAGAATCTGTGATGGACAGCCTTCAGTATTGGTGAATAATACTATTCAAAAGATTTGGACAAAATTTGTGATGGATATCCTTCAAAATAAATGACAGATAACATTCCAAAAATTTGGCCAAAATTTGTGATGGACAACCTTCAAAATTGGTGAATAATAGCAATAAAAAAATTGGGCAAAATTTCTAATGGATAACCTTCAAAACCGATGAATAATAGCATTCAAAATAGTAGGCCAAAATTTTGGATGGATAGCCTACAAAATTGGTGATAAATAGCATTCCCAAAAACTGGACAAAATATGTGATGAATAGCCTTCAAAATTATTGAATAATAGCTTTCAAAAGAATCGACCAAAATATGTGAAGGATATCCTTCAAAATTGATTTACAAAAGAATTTCCAAAAATCGGCAAAAATTTGTGACAGATAGGCTTCAAATATGTGAAACATAGCATTTTCGAAAATCGGAAAAAATCTGTGATAGATAGCCTTCAAAATCGGTGAAACATAGCATTCCCAAAAATCAGCCAAAATTTGTGATGGATAGCCTTAAAAATTGATGAATAGTAGTATTGAAAACAATCATCCAAAATATGTTATAGACAGCCTTCAAAATTGGTAAATAATAAAATTCAAAAAAATCGGCCAAAATCTGTGATGGGTAACCTTCAAAATCGGTGAAAAATAGCATTCCCAAAAATCGGCAAAAATCTGTGATGGATAGCTTTCAAAATTAGTTAATAATAGCATTCAAAAGAATCGGTCGAAATCTGTGATGGGTAGCCTTCCAAATCGGTGAAATGGCATTCCCAAAAATCAGCCAAAATTTGTGATAAATACACTTCAAAATTGGTGAATAATACATTTAGAAGAATCGGTCAAAATCGGTGATGGATACCTATAAAATAGAGGGCAAACAGCATCCACAAAAATCGCTATTTGTGATGGATAACCTTCAGCACGATGCATAATAGCATTCCCAAAAATCGGTCAAATTTTATGATGAATAGCCTTCAAAATCAGTGAAAAATAGCATTCCCAAAAATTGGCATGAATTTGTGATGGATAACATTCAATATTGGTAAACTCTGTGATGGATAGCCTTAAAAAAGGTTAAAAAACAGTATTCCAAAGATTGGTCAAAATATGTGATAGATAGCCTTCAAAATTGGTGAAAAATAGAACTCTCAAAAATCGAGCCTCTTTCCTTTGCGAAAGTTGCACGAGATTTCCGTATCAAACACACCAAAAACATCTATGTTTTTTAGTTGTTCGAAAGAGGTCAAATCTCTTGGAATTTGATCTTGGCTGTGATGCTTTTGATCAACACAACCCCTAGGGTTGTATAAGGGATAGCCTTCAAATTTGATGAAAATATAATTCCAAAATCGACGAAAATGCCATCAGAAAATGAATTCGCCTCAATCGGTGCTTAATGAACTTAATGTAACACCCCAATATTTTAGATTTAGATTCAACCATATTAAGTGATCAATTGGATTGACGGTTACGTACGAATGGTTACAACCGCGGATTAGAAATAATAATAATAACTATTATTATTATATTTAAAAAAAAAAACAAGCATATCAATAACTCGGCCAAAGGGCCGATCGCCCTAAATCCCCAACCCTTCTTTTATTTCCCCACAACTTTTCCCAATTGTTTTCCCCAGCAACAATTCCCATCCCAAGCCCCGCCGCTCATCCCTGCTTCCCATCGTGAGCGAGAAGGGAAAAAAAAGCTCCCCAACACATGATCCCGATTTCCCAGTCCATTCCTCTCGTGTTCCTAGATAAGTATCGCGGATTTTTTTATGATTCCAAGCTAGATTCATCAATAGTCTAATCCGAAATTCGTATGATTCTATTATGGCACTCGCGGCGACGTTTAAGGGTTCGAACATCGATCAACGTCCCGGGTCATTCAATCTAATCCTAGGCACATTCTAGAGGTAAGGGAACTCGATCCCTTTGAGTTAGTTCGATCAATTTGATTATTTTTCGTGAGGGTGCAATTTTGGAGATTTAGCAACAGACTTTACAGGCTTTTAGCGATAGATTTTGGGTGGTCACTAAAGTTGCAGGGAATTTCCAGAAATGTGTTTTTAGATGTTTTAATTGTTTCGAGCCTCTATGAGTGTTGGTTTCTCGGTTTAACAATTTTATAAATTGAGCGTGGTCTAGGAGATGGCTTTAATTTAATTTGGAGGGTTTTTGAAGATGTATTATTATTTTTAGTAATTAGTAGAACTTTGATTTCAATTAACCAAAAATCATATCGAGGATTTTTTGGGAGTTTGATAATTTTCCAGGGTTTCTATCTCATGATTGACATGGGTAAATTATTCTCTGAATTTTTAAGAAGGTTTAAGTTAGGGAAAAATTCGTCCAAGACGAAATTAATTAGGGAAATGGGTGACAATGAAGGGATTATTCGTAGGAAAATTTTTAAGGGAGGTTAAGGGATCTTGGGGATGAGATTTGAGGAAGGGACTTTGAGGAGAGGTGTTTTGGTAAATAAGAAGGGGATAATTAGCAAATAATGGTGGTGGTGACGGCAATTGTGAGTCTATTAACATTATCTGGAGTCTATAACACTCTTCTCGTCACATTTTCCTGACCATTGAGTAGGAACGGCAATGGGGCAGGTCCGCACGACCCTGGCGCGAGTTCATGAGTTGGTGACCAGTCTTCAGCTCCCGCGCGACTGGTGGTACGCGCCTCCGACGACCATCTCTAGGGTTGGCGTGTGCGGACCTAAATGGATAGGGGTCTACCAAGAATACTTTAGGTTTGGGCTGTGGTTTCCCATAGACCCCATCTTGGAAGGGATCCTGACGATGTGCGAGTGCCCGTTGGGGCGCCTATCCCCTTTAGTAATGGTGGTGGTGACATTGTTTAAGTTGAAGTGCCAGGTGCACAACGTGAGGCTCACCTTCAACCTTTTCAGGTGGTTTTTTAACGTGGCGCCCCTCGACAACTGCCTCTCCCTTCAGAAGCGTTCCAAGCGCCCATATCACTTCGTCGTTAGGTGCCCCAAGCTGGGGCGTAGTTGGTTCAACGAGTTTTTCTTCGTGAAAGCCTATCAGGATTCTTTCTTCGAAAGTGGGGGCGCCTTCGTGAGGCATTGGGCGCTAGGCAAAATTGAGGGTTTCGACTCGACCGTCCATCTTTCTTCCGACGAAACTCGGGGCGCCCAGTTAATTAGCACGCACCCGGTTAACCTTCGCGTAACTGCGAACCGACTTAGCTTTTTGGAGGAATATTACAACGATGGTGTGTTGGCGCCCATTTATATTTACTTTGTCTCCCCTGTGCATTCTTTGTGTTAACTCTTTATCTTTGTATGTGCAGGATCAGACTTCAGTTCCATCGGGAAGCTGATCAAAAGTCGGTTGGCGATGATGGCGGCTGGGGCGCCGTCCGTTGCTGGTGCCACTCGTACAAGGCGCCGGCACCGTCGGCACCAAAGAAGGGACGGGGGTCAAAGAAGGCGTCCACAAAAGCTGCCCCGACCAAGGCGCCCGTGCGCGCCAAGACTGCCAGCGTGGCATCCTCGGCCCCGAACCGGACGCCGGGGAACCTGTATTTGACCATAATCCCGCTGCCGAGGAGGAGGAGGCGCCCTCGCTAGTTCGGAGGAAGAAAAGGGAAGGCTCCCCCATTCTTTATGGTGGGAAGAAGGCTCGCGAAAGCGAGAAGGGAAAGGCCCCAGCCCCAGCCGCGGCCCAAAGCCCTGCTGGGAGACAAGGCGCCCGCGTCCACCTGGACGAAGAGGGGCGCTTCGTTGATGCTGATGGGCGCCCGCCTGTGATTCGGCCGACGCGTACCGAAGTTGGGCGCGTTGCCCTCCCCTGCTCTCCCTTGTCCGCGGGTGCGCCATGGGGTTGGCGATATCTACTGCGAAGATGTGGTAGGTACCCTCCGAGGTCAATGGAGACCACCTTTTTGCTGAGCTAGCGCAAGTGGGCGCCAAGGTGACCTTACCACTCGTTTCATTCCATCCCGTTTGCCTTGTGTTTTTTATGTAGTCTTTTTATGCGTCTAACTCCTTGTTGCCTTTGACATAGATCCTCATTTTCGCGGAGAGGGGCGCCCGACGTCTACTGGAGTCGAAAGAAGAGGCGCTGGCCGCCTCGAGTTCAGCATCCGCCTTGAAGGAGGACTTGGAGACGGCGTCCTAGCGCCGCGAGCAGCTGGCGCAGGAGTGTGAGGACGCCTAGCTGAAGGCGGCGCTGGAATTATCCCGTTTGCAAGGTGCCCTGGAGGAGGAGCGCCACAAATGTGAGGCTGAATTCGAGGTGGAGCGGAGGGAGCTGCAGGAGAAGGTGGCAAAGCTCGAGTCGGAGAAGGAGGAGCTGGAAAAGGAGGCGGGCGCCCAGGCGAGCGAGATCGACCTTCTCAAGGAGGAGAAGGATAGGCTCCGGGATGG